AAGATCTTTTGTCTGAAATTGTTTCGAGAGATGTTGTTTCAACTGGAGTATTCCCTGCTGATCACTACCAGTTATGACAATGTCATCTACATACACAATAAGATAAATACACCCTTGGGGTGAGTGACGATAAAAAACAGAATGGTCAGCTTCACTACGGGTCATACCAAACTGTTGTACTACAGTGCTGAATCTGCCAAACCAAGCTCTCGGAGATTGCTTAAGACCATAAAGAGACCTGTGTAGCCTACAAACCATATTCGATGACTCCCCCTGAGCAACAAACCCAGGTGGTTGCTCCATATATACTTCCTCTTCAAGATCACCATGTAAGAATGCATTTTTGATGTCAAGTTGATGAAGAGACCAATGTCGAATGGCTGCAATGGCTAGAAGAAGTCTAACAGATGCCATCTTGGCTACAGGCGAGAAGGTATCACTATAATCCAACCCAAAAATTTGAGTGTATCCTTTGGCTACCAAGCGGGCTTTAAATCGATCAATCTTGCCATCTGGACCAACCTTCACTGTATAAAGCCAACGACAATCTACTAAAGATTTCCCATGGGGTAGAGGAACCAGTTCCCAGGTACCACTGCTTTGAAGAGCACACATTTCATCAATCATTGCTTGCCTCCACTCAGGGTGAGATAATGCTTCACATGGAGTTTTAGGAATAGAAACAGAAGACAAAGAAGACAAACAAGTATACTGCAAAGGGGAAAGACGATGATAACATAAATCAATATAATGTGGAGAAGGATTTCGTGTTTGACGTATACCTTTTCGAAGGGCAATCGGAAGATCAGACTCAGGTTGCAGGACCGAATCCGGTGATGGCGAGAGCGTCGGAGGAGAGTCTGTAGTGACCTCAGGGACAGGTACGACTTCAGGGACAGGTACGACCGTAGTGACTTCAGGGACAGGTACGACTTCAGGGACAGGTACGACTTCAGGGACAGGTACGACAGACTTTGGGTGACGACGCTGATATGTTTGAAGTGGGCGAGGAGTGGGGGGGTCAACCGTAGGGGTAACTAGTGGGTCAGGTTCCCTAGAATGATGGGGGATAATGACAGATGGGACTTCCAGAAGAGGTGTGGTAATACTTTCCTGTAGAGGTTCCGTAGTAACTTGGCTGGATTCGAAATATGGAACAGACTCGAAGAAGGTAACATCGGCGGATACGAGGTATCGTTGTAGAGTATGTGAGTAGCAACGATAACCTTTTTGGGATCGATGATAGCCAAGAAAGACACACTTTAGTGATCGAGCTGATAGTTTATCAAGACCAGGGGAGAGATTGTGTACAAAACACGTGGACCCGAAGACTCGAGGAGGAATTGGGTGGAGTGGAGAGTTTGGAAACAAGATTGAATGAGGAATTTTATTATTAAGGACAGATGATGGCATGCGATTTATGAGGTAACATGCCGTGAGCACTGCATCTCCCCAAAACCGGAGAGGAACATTACCATGGAGAAGTAGGGTCCGAGTGGTTTCTACGAGGTGCCGATTTTTGCGTTCGGCTACCCCGTTTTGTTGGGGTGTATGAGGGCAAGATGTTTGGTGCAAAATACCATTGGATGACATAAATGTTTGAAATTGTTGGGATAAATATTCACGTGCATTGTCACTTCTTAAGGTACGAATAGACAAACCAAATTGGGTTCTTATTTCTCGATAAAATTGTTCAAAAATGGAAAACAATTCAGATCTATTCTTCATTAAAAATAACCACGTGCAACGTGAAAAATCATCAATAAAGGTGACAAAATACCTAGACTCAAGAGTAGAGACAGTACGCGAGGGACCCCAAACATCGGTGTGAACTAAAGCAAAAGGGGACGAAGCTCGTTTGTTGACTCGACAGGGAAATTGACTACGAGTGTGTTTCCCTAATTGGCACGACTCACAATGTAAATTAGATACCTTCGATAAATTTGGCACCAACTTATGTAATTTGGAAAGACTGGGATGACCTAACTGAGCATGGATAGTGAGTGGAGAATCTTTGGTTGAGCATGCCTGAGATGACAATGAAAGGTAGTAAAGGCCTTGAGACTCATATCCGACGCCAATCGTCTTTCCCGAACTCCGATCCTGCAGGGTAACATTATTATTAGTGAAGGTGATACTACAATCAAGAGAACGAGTTAAACGACTGACTGAAAGTAAATTAAATGGACAATTAGGTACATAGAGGACAGAAGTAACAGATAGAGAAGGTAGAATTTGAACAGTACCAATCCCTTCGGATCGGGTTTGAGAACCATTGGCCGAAGTTATAGTAGGTAAGAAACCAGAGGTAGAGAGGGAAGAAAACAAATTTTTATTACCAGTAACATGATCAGACGCACCAGAATCAAGGACCCAAGGTCGAAGAGGAGATGATTGAGAGAGGCAAACAGATAAATTACCAGTGTGTGCTACCTTAGCAGTAGAATCTGAGTTCTGATAATTCTGATACCACCTGAGGAAATCATCGTAGTTTGGTGTAAAGTTCTGAGGAGTAGCCATGAGTATCTGAAAAGATAAAATATCACGCGATCGATCGCTGGCCGGACGTGTTGTCACGTGCGTTTCAGGTGGCGGCGCTGGATGCCCACGCGCAGAGACGGAGGTGGCGCGTGTGGAGGTTTCTGCCGATGAAAAAGTTTGCCGAAAGGTCGTTGAGAATAGCAACGACGGCGGCAGCTATGCGGTTATGACCGAAGAATTTTGAAAAGTGAGGCAAACCGGAGTGACAACACGGTTTGCAAAAAAATTTTTTTTTTTAAAATTTCTCACCGGAAGACAGTGGGTCAACCGGGTAAAGCACGGCGAAACTAATGTCTCCGTATATATACACATATATATATACACATATCAACAATATATATATACACATACATATATATATACATATATATATACACATATATATATACACATATATATATATATATATATATATATATATATATATATATATATACATATATATATACACATATATATATATATATATATACACATATATATATACACATATATATATATATATATATATATATATATATATATATATATATATATATATATACACATATCAACAATAATAATGATAATGATAATTATTATTATTATATTTTTTGACGGGATAATAATAATAAGAATAATAATAATTATTACTAGTATATCTTATATACTATATGATAAGAAATGTGGTTGGGTCTAACTCAATCCTACAAAACCGGTCGGTTGGAAGGGTGAGGATTAACCCCACTTATAAAAACATGTTCAGGAAATATATTATCCTATGTGAGACTCTTAACACACCCCCTCGCGCTTAGGAGTAGACAACTGGAGCGTGGAAAAAATAGTGGGTGTCCCGATAGCGGAAACCATAGTAGGTGACTCACTGGATCTTAAAGGAGGCTCTGATACCATGTTGAAAAAGCGAGACTAAGGGACATTTAGATTAAACCGTGTGTTTTAAAAGCACTACGGAGACATTATTATATATTTATAAATATCAACAGTGATAGTGATAATCAAGCTGCATTGCACATTGCTCCAAATCTAGTCTTCCATGAGAGGACCAAACATATTGAGATAGACTGTCACTTTGTTAGAGAGAAGATCGAGTCAGGCGATATCGTCACAAGCTTTGCCAACTCTAATGATCAATTGACAGATGTGTTTACAAAATCCCTACGAAGTCCCAGAACTAACTATATATGTAACAAGCTTGGTGCATTTTACTTATATGCTCACGCTTGAGGGGGAGGTTTGATATTTGTAAATATATAATAATGTCTCCGTAGTACTTTTAAAACACACGGTTTAATCTAAATGTCTCTTAGTCTCGCTTATTTCAACAATATATAACTAGACAAAATCAAATGGCATAGAGTATTATTTTGAAAACCTATACTGAGAGTTAAGCTTTATATATTCGTCATTATCTCAAAAGATCTTATTTAAATATTAAATTTATCTGAGTCTAAAAATTACTAGAGACATCATTATGTAATTTGAACATTTTGCTTAGTTACAAAGAGAAAGGTCTAAAACGATATGATGAACTATTGAACTATGTCTTTCACCTTCAATCAACCAGGCTACTACCAAAAAAGCTAAAAAGGATCTAATGGAAGTGTTGGCTAAGTGCCAAAGCTGTGTCCAAGTCATGGTCTTCATTTGTAAAACCTAAAATAGTATTTTTTATATTCCGTCACTAGAATTAAGTGTTTGAAACATGTTGTCTAATATGTGTCAGACAGTTGGACACACCTTCAACTTGGAGTGGGTGTTACATTTGAGCTCGGCATGTAAAAGATCTCAGGAGTGGTTTTAATATTTGGATTTATGTAAATCCAATGATTTTGCATTTGGGCTTCTTTTTGTTATTGTTGCTATCAATGTTGTCAAGATCGAGATTTTGACTAAGATCGCGAGGGGGTAGCAATATTGCAACTAGGAAGGTGGCCCAATGAATAGAAAACAGAACATCTCGCGATTGAGGGAGAGTGAGACCGTGAGATCCCACACTGTTTTGCTTTGCGCATGACAGTGCGTGTTAGGCAGCGATGGTCGTGAGCGAGGGTGAAGGCCGCATGCAAAAATAAAATAGTAATAAGGGTTGTCCCAACCTGGTCATCCATGGCCTGAATCGGTTTTGCCCAGAAGCTAACAAGAATGTACCAAATTGTGTGACTTCACAATCCAGAAACGATTTTGTTCTGATCTTTCTTCGATCTTACACAACTCGATCTTGCTCACGATTCAGATCGTAGGGGGTGACTGAGATGTCAAACTCGTGCGATCTTGCGAGTTAACTTGTGATATTTATAACATTGGTTACAATGCCATGAAATCTGTTAAGTGAATATTGCTTGATCTGCGGAAATACACCATTATGAGATTTATATATGTAACTTCATTTTTATGTATACTATTTAAGTTCTTTGTATATTTACTACCGATTAATATTTTGTTGTTTATTACCTTAACAGATGGTTCCCTTTCTTAACAACTGATGCTTGCTGCGAGGCCTGTGGCAATCTTAAGGCAGCATTTCTTGTTGCCGTGGTAGGTTACTACTGAAATTCCTTTTAATTAGACCTTCATATTTGACTTTCTGTTACTGTAAGTTCAGAGATCATAAGCATACCTGATTTAAGAATGCACGGCTTTTTTTTTTCCTTCTGATTATTGAAACCACATTCTCCTCCAGTTTGTTAGTTGTTTCTGTTCATTCATTTACTTTTATTTTATTAATTCTTTTGCGGGGAAACATCATGATCTTTACCTACTTATCTGAATTTTTCTTAGTTCCAGTTCTCAGAGTGCATAAGTTTGGCTTATCTAAGAATGACCCTTTTTACCTCATAAATGACTTATTCACAGTACAAGTTCTTGCTTAAACAGATGTTGGTTCCCTTTCTTTATAATCATTTGTTTCTGTGATATAGTTTTAATTGGGGAGCCGAGAGAAAGAATAAATGAATATCTAGAGATATAGATACAAGCTTTTGAAACACGTGGCTTTTTCTCTTTGTTGAAGTAAAGTAAACTAAATGAAATGTGAGTTTAGCAGGAGAAACACAGATCCTTTAATGTAAAGGTGAAAATTGGAGAGAACATATAATACCACAACTCCTGTGATTTTTCATACCTTAGTTGGTATGTGATACAAAGTGAAAATCACTACTTAAGTAAGGCAGTCATTGTTTCCCGGGGTTATTAACTAGCAGATCTGTCAAGGTTTTCAATCATATACTGCTAAACATACTGCATTAAATGTGTATATAATTTTTGTGATAGCTAAAATCTCACGGTACAATATTGACAGGTGTTTTTGACATTATGCACACTTGTAACCCTATATTTTGCTGATGAAATTCCCCTTACTACTGCAAGTCAACATCACCGGTTATCAGATTCTGCTCCTTTATTGGATGAACAACAAAATGACATTGAATTTTCTAAATCAAAGCCTTTATCTATTATAAATGAGTCCAATGGTGAGACAAGAGAGGATCATTCCGAGGAAGTTGTAAACCTGAAGCATGAGAGTTTCAATGCTGGGGAAGATCATAATGAAAATTTAATGGACGGGCCTGGAGCAGTATTGGTTAACTTGTTAACAAGTTTAAGGCATTTGCCACCTGCTATGCATTCAGTGCTGGTTGTAATGGCTCTCACTTGGGTAGGTACTTCAGTGCTTATGTTCAAAAGATTATTCTGACATCATTGTTATGTTTGTTTTTACATTGGTAGTAAATGTATTTTTATTGCCTTGTGCCAGTGTTTTAATTTGAGATTCTTCTTATATTTCCTCCAAACCTGTCTGTTTGCAGTTGTCATGGTTTCCCTTCTTTCTGTTTGATACGGATTGGATGGGGAGAGAGGTTTATCACGGGGATCCAAAAGGAACTGCTACTGAAGTGGGTCTTTATGATCAAGGTGTTAGAGAAGGTGCATTTGGTTTGCTATTGAATTCTGTAAGAACTCAATATTGAACATAATACTTGCTAATGAGATTTATCAAATGTTTTTATCAATGATGATTGGAGACTTTGTATTTATCTTTTAGTAATTAGAATTTTTAGACATTATTTCCATAACAATTACGAATCTCACATTTCACTTATGACTTTAAAGGTTGTGCTTGGAATCAGCTCTTTTTTAATTGAACCAATGTGTAAGTGGATGGGTGCAAGATCAGTATGGGCAGTGAGCAATTTTGTTGTCTTTGTTTGCATGGCTGGCACTGCTATCATTAGTCTAATTTCTGTCCACGATTATACTGGAGGAATAGAACATGCAATTGGAGCAAGTGATGGAATCAAGGTTGCTTCCTTGGTTGTGTTTATTCTGCTTGGATTTCCACTCGCGGTAAATAAAGTTGACACATTCAAACTAGTTTGATGCAGTGTCAGTTTCCTTATTTTCCTTACCAATCCTCTTTACCATGGTATTAGTCATTTAGATATATATGGAAATTCATGACAGGATAAATTTCCATGTTTATATTACAGATTACCTACAGTGTCCCATTTGCTGTTACAGCAGAGTTGACTGCTGATTCAGGTGGTGGCCAAGGTTAGTATTAAATGGAGATGTTTTTAATTTTTGGACTGTTGAAAGTTTCAGGTTTGAAAATGTTTGATTTTTTCTGTAGGATTGGCTATAGGAGTTTTAAATCTTGCAATTGTTGCTCCACAGGTACTTCATTCTTCTCAAACATGCTGTATGTTAGTCCTCTCCTCTATAATTGGAGAGGAGAGCCTTTTAGAGTTGTATTGTTATTTTATTTTTATCTATTTATTCAGTTTGATGTCACTGGTATGTGTCTGTATCTATTACAAAACTAATAATGTGCAATGTTCTTTCCTATGCAACTGAGACCTTCCCCCGTTATTTTGTATGAAACTCTAATTAATTTTACAACAGGATAATAAAAAATTCTTAAGACTGAAAAACCACTGTAATTTGAAAAAATAGCTTCTTTGAGTCGGTTTGTTTTTATTATGTAAGTAGAGTGAAAATGTTGAGAGAAGACCGGTAGATTCAGTAGTAAGGAAGGTGGATCAGATAGAGAGAAGGAAAACAATTAGAGAAAGGGGAAAACCTAGAAAGACTATCAGAGAAGTTATTAAGAAAGATCTCGAGATTAATGATTTGAAGAGAAACATGGTCTTTGATAGAACATTATGGTGAAAGTTGATCCATGTAGCCGACCCTTCTTAGAGGGATAAGGCTTAGTAGTTGTTTTGTTTTTATATTTATATCTATGCAAATAGAACTGGTGGCTTTGGTGTTGGTTTTTTATTTTTTTTTGAAATCTTGATGTCCGACCTTGCAACCGATTAATTCAAGGGGACCAATCCCATCGTATACTTGCAGGAGCCTCATTTAAAGCCATAGCAAAGCCGTGTATAGACTTGGCCCAACTAGGGGTAGGAATAGGTCAGACCAATTAATAGGGGCCGTAGAGGCCAAGGTCAGACCGGATTTTTTTTTTTTAAAATAGAAAAGGCCGAGACATTTTTATAAGTCTATTTTGTTAAAAAGGTTAGGCCACAAGCTATTAAAAAGTCTTTTAAGTCTATTAAGCCGACCAATTTAAATAAATATGAATAATTTTATTATTATTGATATATTGTATTTTGTACTTTGAATTAAAATACAAAAATAAAGATTAGTTGTCTTGAAGAACTTATGAAAATAAGCAGAAAAAATCTTATGAATGATGTCATAAGTTGTTTTCATAAGTTCTCTCCAATAAATAATATGACTAAACTTATCCTATTAGATAAACTCAATGCAAACAATCATTAAGTTTTATTGATCTTTTAATTTGTTAGTCTATTTAAATATTAGTTGAATTTCTTATTTACAAATGTTCATGTTGAAATACAAGAGACTAAGAGACATGAATAAACCGCGTGTTTTGAAAAGCACTACGGAGACATTATTATATGTAAATAGATTACAACTAATTACATAATATAGTCGATGTGAGACTATTCTATATACAAATATTCTTACACACTTTATATATATTTAAAAATATCAACACTCCCCCTCAAGCTTGAGCATATAAGTCAAATGCACCAAGCTTGTTACATATATAGTTAGTTCTGGGGCTTCGTAGGGATTTTGTAAACACATCTGCCAATTGATCATTAGAGTTGACAAAGCTTGTGACGATGTCGCCTGACTCGATCTTCTCTCTGACAAAGTGACAGTCTATCTCAATATGTTCGGTCCTCTCATGAAAGACTGGATTTGAAGCAATGTGCAATGCAGCTTGATTATCACAAATAAGTGTCATTGGTCTTGCTTCTTCAATTTGAAGTTCCTTGAGCAACTGTTTTAACCAAATAAGTTCACATGTTGCCATTGCCATCACCCTATACTCTGCCTCGGTGCTTGATCTTGCAACTACATTTTGTTTCTTACTTTTCCAGGATATAAGGTTTCCTCCAACAAGTACACAATACCCAGAGGTGGATCGTCTATCAATGGGTGACCCTATCAGCATCAGAGTATCCAATTATCTGGGTATGTCTTTTATCCTCATACACAAGACCTTTTCCTGGAGCACATTTGATGTATCTCAAAATCCGGATAACAACATCCATATGTTCCTGACAAGGGGAATTTAAAAACTGGCTTACCACACTGACTGCAAAAGAAATGTCCGGACGAGTGACTGTGAGATAATTCAACTTTCCAACCAATCTCCTATACCTTCCTGAGTCAGATAGAGGCTCCCCCTGATTGGGTAGTAGTTTAACACTTGGATCCATAGGAGTATCGGCTGGTTTAACATTTAACAAACCTGTTTCTTCCAAAATATCCATAGCATATTTCTGCTGAGAAATCACCAAACCATCTTTAGATTGGGCTACTTCAATACCCAAGAAATAACGGAGTTTACCAAGATCTTTTGTTTGAAATTGTTTCGAGAGATGTTTCAACTGGAGTATTCCCTACTGATCACTACCAGTTATGACAATGTCATCTACATACACAATAAGATAAATACACCCTTGGGGTGAGTGACGATAAAAAACAGAATGGTCAGCTTCACTACGGATCATACCAAACTGTTGTACTACAGTGCTGAATCTGCCAAATCAAGCTCTCGGAGATTGCTTAAGACCATAAAGAGACCTGTGTAGCCTACAAACCATATTCGATGACTCCCTCTGAGCAACAAACCCAGGTGGTTGCTCCATATATACTTCCTCTTCAAGATCGCCATGTAAGAATGCATTTTTGATGTCAAGTTGATGAAGAGACCAATGTTGGCTGCAATGGGTAGAAGAAGTCTAACAGATGCCATCTTGGCTACAGGCGAGAAGGTATCACTATAATCCAACCCAAAAATTTGAGTGTATCCTTTGGCTACCAAGCGGGCTTTAAATCGATCAATCTTGCCATCTGGACCAACCTTCACTGTATAAAGCCAACGACAATCTACTAAAGATTTCCCATGGGGTAGAGGAACCAGTTCCCAGGTACCACTGCTTTGAAGAGCACACATTTCATCAATCATTGCTTGCCTCCACTCAGGGTGAGATAATGCTTCACATGGAGTTTTAGGAATAGAAACAGAAGACAAAGAAGACAAACAAGTATACTGCAAAGGGGAAAGACGATGATAACATAAATCAATATAATGTGGAGAAGGATTTCGTGTTTGACGTATACCTTTTCGAAGGGCAATCGGAAGATCAGACTCAGGTTGCAGGACCGAATCCGGTGATGGCGAGAGCGTCGGAGGAGAGTCTGTAGTGACCTCAGGGACAGGTACGACTTCAGGGACAGGTACGACAGACTTTGGGTGACGACGCTGATATGTTTGAAGTGGGGAGGAGTGGGGGGGGTCAACCGTAGGGGTAACTAGTGGGTCAGGTTCCCTAGAATGATGGGGGATAATGACAGATGGGACTTCCGGAAGAGGTATGTGAATACTTTCCCGTAGAGGTTCTGTAGTTACTTGGCTGGATTCGAAAGATGGAACAGACTCGAAGAAGGTAACACGGCGGATACGAGGTATCGTTGTAGAGTATGTGAGTAGCAACAATAACTTTTTTGGGATCGATGATAGCCAAGAAAGACACACTTTAGTGATCGAGCTGATAGTTTATCAAGATCAGGGGAGAGATTGTGTACAAAACACGTTGACCCGAAGACTCGAGGAGGAATTGGGTGGAGTGGAGAGTTTGGAAACAGGATTGAATGAGGGATTTTATTATTAAGGACAGATGAGGGCATGCGATTTATGAGGTAACATGCTGTGAGCACCGCATCTCCCCAAAATCGGAGAGGAACATTACCATGGAGAAGTAGTGTCCGGGTGGTTTCTACGAGGTGCCTATTTTTGCGTTCGGCTACCCCGTTTTGTTGGGGTGTATGAGGGCAAGATGTTTGGTGCAAAATACCATTAGATGACATAAATGTTTGAAATTGTTGGGATAAATATTCACGTGCATTGTCACTTCTTAGGGTACGAATAGATAAACCAAATTGGGTTCTTATTTCTCGATAAAATTGTTCAAAAATAGAAAACAATTCAGACCTGTTATTCATTAAAAATAACAATGTGCAACGTGAAAAATCATCAATAAAGGTTACAAAATACCTAGACTCAAAAGTAGACACGGTACGTGAGGGACCCCAAACATCGGAGTGAACTAAAGCAAAAGGGGACGCAGCCCGTTTATTGACTCGATCGGAAAAGTGACTACAAGTATGTTTCCCTAACTGACAAGACTCACAATGTAAAGTGGATAATTTAGATAAACTGGGCACCAACTTTTGTAGCTTGGGAAGACCTGGATGACCTAACTGCGCATGTATAATGAGTGGAGAATCTGTGGTGGAGCATGTGGTAGATGACGTAGAGAAGTAGTAGAGGCCTTGAAACTCACATCCGACGCCAATCGTCTGTCCTGAACTCCGATCCTGCAGAGTAACATTACTGTTAAGAATGTGGTTGGGCCTAACTCAACCCTACAAAACCGGCTGGTAGAGTGAGAATTGCCCCCACTTATAAACACATCTTCATGCCATATATTGTCCGATGTGGGACTCTTAACACACCCCTCACGCTCAGGATTGGACAACTGAAGCGTGGAAATAAATGGTGGGTGGCCCGATAGCGGAAACTATAGAAGGTGGTCCACCGGATCTTAAACGAGGCTCTGATACCATGTTAAGAAATGTGGTTGGGCCTAACTCAACCCTACAAAACCGGTTGGTAGAGTGAGGATTACCCCCACTTATAAACACATGTGCATGCCATATATTATCCAATGTGGGACTCTTAACACACCCCCTCACGCTCAGGACTGGACAACTGAAGCGTGGAAATAAATGGTGGGTGGCCCGATAGCGGAAACCATAGAAGGTGGCCCACCGGATCTTAAACGAGGCTCTTGATACCATGTTAAGAAGTGTGGTTGGGCCTAACTCAACCCTACAAAACCGGCTGGTAGAGTGAGAATTGCCCCCACTTATAAACACATCTTCATGCCATATATTGTCCGATGTGAGACTCTTAACAATTACTATTAGTAAAGGTGATAGAACAATTAAGGGAACGAGTTAAACGACTGACTGACAGTAAATTAAATGGGCAATTAGGTACATAAAGGACAGAAGTAACAGAGAGAGACGGTAAAATTTGAACAGTACCAATCCCTTGGGATCGGGTTTGAGAACCATTTGCGCCAGTTATGATAGGCAAGAAACCACAGAGGTAGAGAGGGAAGAAAAAAGACCTTTATTACTAGTAACATGATCAGACGCACCAGAGTCAAGGACCCAAGGACCAAGAGGAGATGATTGAGAGAAGCAAACAGATGAATTACCAGTGTGTGCAACCGAAGCAGTGGAACCAGAGATCTGATTAGTCTGACACCATCTGAGAAAATCTTCGTAGCTTGGCGTAGGGTTCTGAATAGAAGGTGAAGTCTGCATAGTTTCTGAGTTATCACTTTGAGTTGCATTTACCTGGCGTGGGGGTTTGCCATGTAGCTTCCAACAACGGTCGATAGTATGTCCAAGCCGGTTACAATGGTTACACTTGGGACGAGGTTTGGAGTTGGATGACCCTCCTCGAGGGCGACTCTGATTGTTGCCCAGAGATGCGAGGGCAGCAGTGTCACCTGGTGTAGCAACAGTAGATGGAGGGGAAACCGGACCAAACGCATGAGGTGTAGCCAAGCGCAACAGTTGTTCACTAACTGCATCATAGTTAGGAATAATAGTACCTGATAAAATCTGGTTACGAACGGAGTCGAGTTCGGATGGTAGTCCTTTAAGTGCCATCACCATGAAAAATTTACTCTGTTGTTCGGCATGATGGTTGCGTAACTTGCTTTCAAAACATCAAGCTTACTCAGATAGGTTTGCATATCCATATTTTCCATCTTTAGTGTGTCGAGTTTGAGGATGACACTGTATAGACAATGAACGTCGTTGGAGAAGACTTTCTTGGCCTTTTCCCAAACTTCATAGCAAGTGGAGAAGGCTTGATACTGTGCTTGGAGGTTAGGTGCTATGGAGAACCATAACACGGTAAGAAGAGAGGCATCTGTTTTTTTCCATTTAGCAAGTCTGTCGGAGGCAACATTAGTCAATTGTGTGGTTAGGTGATCTTCATATCCCTGACCAAGAAACCACATATCGACAGCACGCGCCCATATGTTATAGTTTGCTGATCCGATCAGTTTTTCACATGGGATAAGAGGAACTTTAAACGAGACAGAATCAGCGTCTCCCATAGTTTAATGACACAAAATCGGGGTTGCTTGCACTGGAGCACCGTTTTCCGTGAGTCGGAAAGTAAAACAGAGGCCGGATCTGGAATGGGTGAGGAGAGGTGAGTAGATCAGCAGAAAAACGGTCGGAATCAGCCACCGGTCGCGCTGGGGCAGCAGCGGGAAAAAGAGGCTCTGGGGCAGTAGCGGGAAAAAGGGCGACGACCGGATCGGAGGACAGCGACAAAATCGGTTTTTCGAAACGTCGTCGGAAGTTTTGCCGGAACTGTAACGGCGGCAAGACGGTTACGGGAGAATTTTGAAAAGTGAGAGGCAAACCGGAGTGACAACACGGTTTGCCAAAAAAATTTTTCTCACCGGAAGACAGTAGGTCAATCGGTTAACAGTAGGTCAACCGGTAAAATACGGCGAAGAAAGAATTGTCTCTTATTAGTAGGCTCTAGATACCATGTTGAAATACAAGAGACTAAGAGACATAAATAAACCGCGTGTTTTGAAAAGCACTACGGAGACATTATTATATATAAATAGATTACAACTAATTACATAATATAGTCGATGTGAGACTATTCTATATACAAATATTCTTAACACTTTATTAAAAAGTCTTTTAAGTCTATTAAGCCGACCAATTTAAATAAATATGAATAATTTTATTATTATTGATATATTGTATTTTGTACTTTGAATTAAAATACAAAAATAAAGATTAGTTCTCTTGAAGAACTTATGAAAATAAGCAGAAAAAATCTTATGAATGATGTCATAAGTTGTTTTCATAAGTTCTCTCAAATAAATAGTATTACTAAACTTATCCTATTAGGTAAACTCAATGCAAACAATCATTAAGTTTTATTGATCTTTTAATTTGTTAGTCTATTTAAACATTAGTTGAATTTCTTATTTACAAATGTTCAAATGTTTATAGGTCAATTAGACCTTCCAAAAGGTCAGACTCAGGATTAAAAATAAGTCTATGATAGGCTACATGTTAGACTTAAGCTTCAAATATTTTAGCAGGCCAGACTCAGGCTTGACAAAGTCTATCTCAGCCCAACATATTTCCATCCCTAGGTCTAACACAAGAATTGTTTACACCTAACAAAATTCGAACTTAAGATCTTGAGAGGAGGACAAACCTTCACCACTAGGCCAATCCCTGGCAGTTAGGTTAGTTAGGCGTTGATAGTTAGTAGCTGGTCTCATAAGCTGTTAGAGTAGTTTATTATTTAAGATTGGATGAATAGAGGGGACAGTTTGTTGGTTGATGGGCTATTAAAATTGGGAGTGGCCAACCTTGACATCTGTAGTAGATTTATGTTTTCCCTGCACATTAGATTATCTTGATTAACAAGTAAGGAAGAGTATATCAATAAACTTCTTTTTCTTTCTGTAATTTGCTACTTTCTGAATCAGAATCTCCCAATTGAATTTCTTGTAAATGTTGTAAGTGCTATTTAAATGTGTTATTGGTTTGTTTAGATGATTATATCCCTTGGTTCTGGTCCATGGGATGCTCTCTTTGGTGGTGGCAATATTCCTGCATTTGTTTTGGCCTCCATCTGTGCTCTCACCGGTGGCATTGTTGCATTTCTAAAACTGCCAAATCTTTCTAGTAATGCCTTCAAGTCATCAGGATTTCATTTTGGCTAGCTGTTGGAAGATCTAATCTGGTAATGTTTTTAGCGTGTACATGGTCCTCAGAAATTGGAATAACATGAATAGTTTGGAGAGCTGGCATTATATTGTGTTATGTTGCTTTCCAATACATACACAGAAAGGCACATTCCGCATTCCATATTCAAATTCATTCATTCTTCCTCCACATTGTGGGTGTTGTATTGTATGTCATATGTAATATATTATAAAGGCTGCACAATAGAAGAAAGCTTAGGTGCATATAGTACACGCATTTGTAATCACCATTATTCAATCAATTAGTGATTACAAAATGATGAGATCAATTTTGAGAGTTAATCTTGTGACTTGGTTTCATACTTGTTAAGGTGAATGGAGCACCTGTTAAGGTAATTTTGTTACAATGGCGCCGTAAGTTGTCTGACGCAAGTCTTAAAGGGGTGTATAATGTAAGTATATGCATTAGGTATTATGATGTGTGTATTCTTGTAAGAAAGCTTTAGAAATGCAAAAGTATGATCCATTTGTTGTTGAGAAAAATACATTGCATTTATTTAGGGAAATGTTCTTTTCACCGCCCCACATTTTTGAAAATTCGAAAATGCCTTTTCTGTGTTCGGTAATGCATTTTCAGACGCATCTTAAATCACATTACACTTTGTAATTCAGTCACACATTCTATTTTTATCGAAATATAATTCAAAGACGCATTTTTGAAATAGGGTGAATCCGGAGACGCATCTCCGAAATATCCTATAAAGTCATTTAAAAGGTATTGCAAACATGTTAATTGCACATAGTAAATATTTCGGAGATATATATTCGTAAACTCCCTAATTAGTTTAAAGGCAGGAGATACATCTTCGTAAACTCCCTAATTAGTTTAAAGGCAGGAGATACATCTTCGTAAACTCCCTAATTAGTTTAAAGGCAGCAACGACATTGTCTCATAATTGTAATTTTTTTGAGGTTGATTTATATTAAAGTAAAATCAAGTTATATTAAAGTAAAACGGAAGTAAAAATTCATTAATTAAAGTAAATTTAAAAAGTCACGATCATATTTGAATTTTTATCGAAAATGTAAAAAAATAATACAACAAAACACAAACAACTGTATGCCTAACCTCTTCTACACATGTATTATAAAATATTTTGGGTCTTTGAACAATGCCTTCTATGAGGGTGGTCAAATGGAGTTTGTCTTCCTTAAAAAGTTATGCTTCTATGCTTGATCTCACCATATCGACAACATCACATTGAGATCTTTGAGGTGGACTGTGGGATGAGGGGACTCTGAAGGGGTCTCAGAATAATTTATAGATATTTAAACTGACGCATCATTCGCTTGAGTAGATACAAATACATCAGACTTGACTCACATGCTAGCCATTCAATGTATAACGAAATGATGTCAAGTATACGTGTTTGAAGATGACCATCGTATAAGTAGAAGGCTGTGTCATCTGCTACATAAGGTTAAGATAGACTCGAAATGACTATCACATTATTTTTTATGTACGACGCAAAGACGACAACACGTGGTCAATTCTCAATATAGGTAGGCACATGATTGCATCCGGTGTTACGAGGAAAGTGGAAGATCCATTTATGAAAATTGTTCTGATAAAATATTAATAACAAGTGTAACAAGGTAATTATGAAAATATTAATAATAACAATAACAAGTGTAACAAGGTAATTATGAAAATATTAATAATAACAAATTACCGTAACCAGCATGTAGCTTCATCATCTGGGGACTCGTGGCCCTATGAAGTAGAGGCCTAAGATAGGCGACTACGAGAAGTAGAACTAAATGGTTTTGAACCTCGATGTTACAAACCATCAAACAAGTTATCATCGGCTTATGGCCTCATGGTCCTACTTACGACCCACTCACACTGTACAAACGCAATTTGGGACACACGACTAAGTCATATCCTGTTCAACCAAAATTCATCCAAACACAAATCCGAAGATAGATATTTGAAAGCAGCACAAAGAAAATTCAGAGATGTGTTTTCGGATGAACTTGTGATTTTCTCAGCCATCATAGAAACACCATTGCCATGCTAATCTCCAAACAAATGTCAATGCATGTCCATTCAACCTACCTATTTTTATCACACTACTACCTAATATAGCTCATACAACTTATGTATGAGTTATATTAAAAAACTTATTAAATTAAAATTGTGGATAAGAAGCTTGAATGAAGTGAGTAACTTTGCAACAGTTGAAGTAGAATGATGTGAGAATTTTGATTGGACGAGAAACTTGAATGAATGGTTGAGAATGAAATGGGTATTTTTTTAATGTTGAGTGACTTTTTATAAATTGAAGGAGGAAGAAGGAAGAGTTTGGAGCGAGTATATGAAATAAAAGCATTTAGAGATGCATCTTCGGACCACCATTAAATTTTGAATTAATGGTATTCACGAAGTTGTATCTCTAGACTCATCTTTATGGTATGCAAAGATGCATCTCTCGACTAAATTTTTGTAAAATATGGCGTCTCATCAGTTTACACTAAGAAGTATAAAAAAAGTCTGGACTCAAGGGACATTTGTGTCTTTTCACACAGATGGGAGAGCATCCTAAAAATAAAAAAAATAATTCCCTTTATAAAAAGAAAGACCCATAATCAAAATCGGTAAGACTATAATTATAAGTTTCTTCGGAAGAAACTTTTCTTTTTTCTAGAGACCTATTTTTAAAGATAATTTCTCAATCACATTCTATATTGTTTAAGTTTATAAGAAGTGTGTTTCCTATAATACAAAGATGGCAGTTTTAACAATTATAGTTCTTATAAAGTCATGTTCAGTTAGGGAGTTTTTCAATCAACTTTCTAATATGTGGGAATATTTATTGGAATGATTTTTTCCGTGTATTTTATATTTAAATATACTATAGAAATTTTGATAGTGTATTTTACTAGATTTAAGCCTATAGAAAATATGAAGACTTATCCTATACCTTAAAAATTATCCCCCACCTTTAAATACATGGCATAATTAGTCACAAAGTCTTTTAATTTAATTTAATATTTCACTTTAGTTCTTTAACTAAATAATATTATCATTAAAAATTATTATGTTAGTCAAATTGGTCATTGTTGTTAAATTTTTTGAAAAACCGTCAACTTCACCTAAGTGATATAACAACTAGACATTTGTTAATAAGATGAGTTGACACATATATTAAAAAAATAATATTTTGTTTAAACTGGAGAGATATTGTTTTTGGAGGTTAAAATCCCTCGCAAATTGTTACTTCCTCCGTCTTATCAAAAGTGTTTCATTTGCATTTTTTTATGTCTCAAAATAAATGTCTCTTTAGAAATACAATAAAACATTTATTATTATTTTTCACTATTATATTCCTATTTATTAACTTTCACGTTTTTCAACTACTCCTCTAACTATAATAAATAAGGAAATTTTAGTAAAAAATACTAATTTTATCATTAAAATGAATACATCTAATCATTTTTTAAAGAACCACACATAACTCAAATAAGACACTTATTATGAGGCAAATGGAGTAATAATTATGTAAAAAAATATAACACCACATTGCTATCAAAATAACCAACAAGTCTTTCCAAAATAGAGTAATCACTCACACAACATGACATATAAAACAAAATCCAGAAGTCTGAAAAATTAACAACCATTAGCACAAATTTGTATAATATTGTGATTCAAACTATACAAACTAGGAGTTAAAAAGCTTGTCCCTTATGTGTATGAAAGATGGCTTTGAACTCCTCTTGATAAACTAGAAAACAGTCCAGATGCTTCCCAATACATTTGAGTGAAAGGAAATCATCTTGATGTTTTGAAGATAGATCAAGAAAACGATCAATAACATGCTCTTGAAAAGAATTAAATTCAAGATCTTATAATCACTACAAAAATCAAAGGTTCAAATGAAAAATACCTGATTAATCGAAGAAATCCATTCAAAACTATAATAATTTTTTCTTGTAAATGTAACTTTTTCGTCAGAAGCACCACAAACATTTTCAACTTGTACACTTGACAATTGATGTCTACTGCCATTACAGACAATGGTCGAGATAGAGTGATCAACCAACAGTTCATAAAGAATGTTTGAATCATAAATACCCTTCGCCTTTTCCACTTGCAAACAGTTATCACTGCCCTTGTGATTATCCATCACAGATATTGAACAAAACGTATCTAGCTGATGATTTCTCTCTACTAATTTCAAGGTAGATGCAGATCCAAATCTACTTTCAACTAGAAAATCTGCATTTTTTGTTAAACTTTTGAAACCATGTTTCAACTCACTATCCACATTTTGATTCCCTTCTTTTTCTGCTTTGAGCCTAATAGGGCATGGGATTTGCTAACAGAACTAGATTGCACCTTAGTGAAAATGGTAGACAAGGATTCTTCCATATACCTGAAAAAATCAATGAATCTATCCATTTAAAACTTGTGTTTAGAATCTATCCAATTTCATGAGAAGAAAGAAAGAAGGAGATGAAAGGTTGTGGTGGTGGAAGAAGGAGGAGAGAAAGAGAGAGAGAGAAGAAAGAGGGGCGACAACTAGTGTGATCTAGGGTTTCAAATAGAACAAGTTTTCTTCTTCTAAACATATATGGAATAAGTAAAAAAGCCAGTTCAAATATTAAAAATCTACCCAAAGCCAAGTTAGATATTAAAATTCCAACAAGATTGCCATATAGACAAAAATTAACGTTTTTCAGAAAATTTAACAGAAAAGACCAAATCGACTAACGAATCAGTTTCTAAGGGACTACTATGTAACATTTTTTAGTTAAGGGATTAAAGTGAAAATTGAGTTAAGGGACGAAAAAATGCAGTAAACCTTTTTTAAAATATTTCAATTATACCTTTTTTAGTGGTGTCTAGGGTGAACTAATAAATAAGTGGTTCATGGTGTACCACAAATAATAAGCATTGGATTATGTTCCTTTAATAAGGGAATTGCTCTCTATACCCCATGAGGTTCTCCCCA